ATATATATATATATATATATATAGATTTTAAATTTTAAAACATAATAATAATAAATATAATCCAAAATCCAAAAATAAATTTAACAAAAATTTTTTCCATCAAAATAGTTCTTTAGTTTTCTAAATTAAATTTTTAAAATTATGTTTTATAATAATTATTTATCTATTATAGTTATAATATTTCTATATAATTTATAGGAAATAATTTTGGGAATAATTGGGAATATGACTTGTGAATCATCAGTACTTGACTTATTAGGAGAGAAAGAAGAACTTCTTGATATAATTCTTCACCTTCTTTCATCTGAAGATACTGCTATATTAGTGCAAATACTTCGACTTTTACGTTCTGCACTTTGGAATATTCAAATGAATTTAAAGTCAAAATGGAGAATTAATTTAAAAAAATCAACTTTTCTGAGAGAGGTAGTTCCTTTTATTTTAAAAAGCTCTACAAATGGTGAGTATTATAATAAGTCATGTATTTGTTATAGTATTTTATTTATTGTATTAATATTTTAATATTAATAATTAATTTTCCAAAATCCAATATTTTGTTTAAATAAATATTATATAAAAATATTTTATTAATAATTTATTTTTAATCTAATAATATAATATTATTTATTATAAAATTAAAATCAAATAGATTTTTTTTATTTATTTCTATCTGTAACTAATTTTTACAGAAGAACTTTTAATTGCAACCACAAATTTTCTACGTTCTTCAGCAGAAATTGATTTTCCATCTGGAAGAACATTATTGGATGAATTATTTGAGTCTTCTAGTTTTTTGTCAGGTGCTATTTTATTATATTTTTTGCTAAAAATTCTTTAATTCTTTGCAGTTTGTAATTATTTAATATAAATAAATATGAATAAACATGAAGTAATTTATAATAAAATAGGAAAATAATAATAATAGTACAGTCCAAAGGATATGCATTCTGAACATGCAATCTAAACATAAAATCATTGTCCAAAATAAACATTGAACTTAAATAATTAAAATAAGATCTATATACAATCTGAACATAAAATTGCAAAGAATTAATTCATTTTTATAAAGCAGAAAATTTATTATAATTTATTAATTTTTAAAAACAACAAATTAAAATTTACAGGAATGTTAGAATCTTTTGAAGAAGTTTTTCCTCAGAATGAAACTTTTTATTCAGTTTCAACTTTGAAATATCTTGAAGATTGGTTAGAATTGTTTTCAATTCTTCGGAAAGGTCACCAAATTCATCAAGAAATTTTACAAGAAGATAATTTAATTAGAATAGTAGAGATTCTACAAAGAATTTTAATAAGTTTTATTGATCCATGGAATCTTTATCCTTTAGATGAAATTAAAGCTTCTTGCATTCATAGATGTGCAGAAATGATTCTTGATTTTCGATGGAAAGGATTTTTAAGAGCAGATTCTACTGTTGATATAGATGCAACAATCTTAAATATTATAGTTAGCATCCATACAGGTGAATTATATTATTATGAAATAATAATAAATAATTATAAATAATTATTTTTTATAAAAAAATTTATAATTATATGGATTTTTTCAGCAATGAAAGAAGAAGAGGAAGATTCCGAAGAAACAATGGCAGAATTATTAAAATATCTTGAAGGATATTGGATTGAAGTATCAAAAATTTCATCAACAAATGAAATTATAAAAATTTTAAAAACAAATGAAAAAGCTATTATTGACCATACAATTAACTTATTAAAATCAAAAATTTCTGAAGAAAAAATTAATGATGTAATCAATAAGTTGCCATATGAATAAAATAGAATTTTAGGTTTTATCTGTAAAGATACTTAAAAATGTTTGTTATAAAAGTTATAAAAAATTCCAACTTATACATTTATTGTACATATTTTCAACATGTTTACAACATAAACATTTTACCTTTTTTGAAAATAATAATGCAAACACTATAATAAGAGAATGTATAATGTAGAAAGAGTACTGACTCTATTATATATATATATATATAATATAGTTATATAATATATAAAAATTATAAAAAGTTTAATGAAAATATATTTAATCTTTTTATCAATTATATAATTTTCAAACAATTCATTGGATATTCATGAAATGATAAAATCGAAAAAATCAATAACATAATTAACATGAATTCAGTAAAAAATTAAAATGTACTTTTTATTACAAATTATATTTTGAATATCAACATAATTTTACGATAAGTACTTTGAATTTATTTAAAAATAATTATATTTTAACATATTTTTTGCCATATAAATAAAAAATAAAAGTATAATAATCATAACATTGATAAAATAACAAAATTTTTAAACAAAATTTGAACATATTTCTCAATAAATTTCTCTACATTTTAATAATAAATAACAAGGATTAAATTAATTTATACATAAATCTATAATATTGTATTCGTTAAAAAAATTCAATTATTTTCAAGATTGAAAAATCTTTTATCTTCATAGCAAAACATTTTTATTATGTTATGAATATTTTCTGTATTTTATTAATTGTAATACATTTTACATAATTTTGTATTAATTTTGTATATATGTATGTACAGGATGATTGTAAAAATA